TGGTCTGTTTCACCCTGGGGGAGCCGATGCTATATCCAATTATAAGGTCTTGGGCTACTGCGTGCTTTTTTGGTCCTGCCTGTGATCTATCCGAACACTTTTTCCCACAATTGCTGGGGTTAAATGGCATAGATTTCAAATGGTTCCTGTGGTAGAACTGCCATGCTTGAATTTGACTAATTAGGAATGGAAAATTTTCATATAGTAACGGAAATCTATGGAATTTCAGTGAACTTCGTATTATCGGCAATGGGGTCTGGCAGTGGGGTGGGGAGGTAATAAGTAGGTAATAACCCTGCCTGGCGCCCCAAAAAGGGGGCACGATCCCCGAGGCCCTGCCGATCACCTTATAACTACAGGCATCACAGCTCCACACCTTTTGCAGATGGCCAGGACCCCCTGCGATGCATCCCAACAGCAATCTTTATTCAGAACCTGCCTTGATTAACCAACGATGCATTAAATGCGACGGATAGCTCTATAATGCATTGTTATCAACTATTGAACGGGCCTCGCCGATAGGGGGGTACTGTACCCCCCTAACTTTCGATAGCGGGGGACCTGTCCCCCCCGTCCCCCCCGGTGGCGCCGCCCATGGGTGGAGGTGGTTGCGGGTCCAGTTTATTTATACGTCCGTGATCTGAACTTGACAGTCACGTGACCCATTTGACCTTCGGATCCAATTCTGGTAGTCAATTCTGGCGCTTTTGTTATCATAACGAAAAATCAACTCTCGAAAAATGTAACCCCATGTTCTCAGTTTTCCTGACGACGAAGATTCTGCGTAATCTGACCAATGGCGTTCGAGAGTCGCGGCCGAGCCCCGACGATCTTGAACGTGATTGGTCGGACGGCGTATAGAATCTTCGTCGTCCGGGAGACTGCGAACACGGTAAACCAAGGGGTAAACAATCTGTGCGTGGAATGGGGGAGTGGACGAGTGGTGAATGTGTAAGAGCGATGATGGGCTGATTCTTCGATTTTTATTTATACTATTATCTTTATTATACATTCTGATCATTTTGTTTATGTTCAGGAGTTTTCTCTGTTGATTTAACATTTGTCCACTCGGACCGAATATATACTAATACCCTTTTGTGTATATATTAATGTATGACCTGACTTTACTTCACTTCACCTTATATTTTCTTGCAAGAAGTTATCACACCATTATTGTGCAAAAATAAGGGTGGTGTTTTGCGGCACTCTGCCAGCCACTTTTGGCTTCCATAGAGACATCAACATTCAACAAGCCTATACCTCCAACACTACCCGAGGTTGACGCTAGCTCACGGAATGCGCTGGCAGCAGCCTGGCAGCTCGCCCGTGAAACAGCCAGGGGTTTCCGCTGTAACGTCATTGTTGTCTAGGTACATGGCAGTGGCGGATCCAGGAATTTTCGGGAGGGGGGGCGGCAAGTTGAAATAGGGGCGACCTGGCAATCCAGGGGCGCCAAACCGTCGTCAAAATCGAAAGTTTAAAACCCACGCCGTGAGGGGGGGTGCGTTGTCACGTCCCCCCTAGGTTTTTCGCAAATATGTTTAAAATGGCTGCGCGCAGCGCCGCCGTTTTTAGTATACATTATCAGTTATCATATATCTTTTCTGCACATGTTGTAAAAATGTGAGACCCGGGTGATGCAAGGTCAGGTCACCAGGTTATTCCACGTGACCTAACCTTAGAAAAAGTTCAAACGCTCACCATTGCTATACCGACTGAACGATCGCCTTGAAACTTTCAGCAGTTGATGAAAGCAAAAATATTCATGAAATATATATCTCGGAATTTTGATATGTGACCTAAGGTCAGGTCAGCTTTGCGAGCTCTCTATTATGTATAGGTAAGTCTATGGGAGAAAATTGAAAGGCATCTCTTTTGGACGAGCGCCATTCTAGACAATCTCAAGTATTGGGATACAGATAAAATTAACACACTTAATAAGAACATTGCACCTGTGACCACTCATTAGTTATGTTCCAGAGGTTATCCCAGGTCATGAAAGGTTCACAGCTGTTTTTTGTTTTTGTAAATAACTTTTGATAGATACATGCTAGAGCGATAAAAACTCAGTTGTGTTCAGCTCGACGATACGGATCGACTGACATGCAATAGGTATGATCTTTCCCGGTCAGGTCATGACTTTGACATGAGGTCAAATTCTCAAAATTGCCTTTAAAAGTCATCATATTGTTCATTCGACGCGTCTCGAACAGAAACGTGATGCTGGCAAAGGTAACGCCGAGACTCTCTTGAGTCAAAAGTTAGGTATTACAGGAAGACATTGTTAATTCGTAAAACGGCTATTTTTAGAGTTTTTGCCCTCCGAAGACTAAACCGTTAACCTTGCGTCATATCTGAGGACAGGTTACGGAAACAACTTTGAAAGGGCTATCGAATGCGCTTTTCCGCTGCACTATAGCTGTATTGGTATCCGAGTCAGGTATGTGCCGGTGTTTCGAAAAAAATGTTGAAATAGGCAACATTTTACTTTTGATGACCTATGGTGACCTGACCTTTCACCTGACCTAAAAAATGACAGTTGTTTTCGTCCTGTTTTTGGACGATCTTTCGAATGCCGCTTACCGCATGTCGCTACGCGGCCCAAGAGCCGAGTTAGACGAGGGGGCGTGACCCCCCCCCCCCCCAGCACGGCACGGAAAACTTAGACCACTAGCACGGCGCGGGTTAAATGTCGTAGATTTGCGCCGCTTCGTTAGCAAAAGAGATAAGCAAAAAGGTGGCCTCCATTTGCTGGTGCGTCCTTCTTCTCCCGGTGATGTCCCTCTTTTCTGGAAGCGTCTCACCTATGCTGGTATGCCTCACTTCTCCCGGGGGCGCCCAACCTCTGCTTGGATCGCCCAATCCGTCATGGTGAGGCTCACTTTGCTGAAGTCGCCTCATTTCTTCTAAGAACGACCAATTTGCTGTATGGCGGCCCACTTATCTGGGTCCTGGGACGCCCATTTTTTGCTAGAAGTGCCCCTCTTCTTCTTGATGCGTCCCGCTTCTACTGGGAGTGCACCTTTTCTGTTAGGGCACGCCTTTGCTGCTGGGGAGTCCCTTTTCTACTGTGAATGGGGCGGCCCTTTCCTGTTCGGCGACCCCAAATTCTGCTGGGGGCGCCCCATTTCTGCCCAACTTTTGCTGCGGTGCCCCTCTCCTGCAGGGGCACTTATCTTTTGCTAGAGACGCCTCTTCTGGGGGCGCCCTTCCACTGCGGGGGACGTCTCTCTCCTGCCAGAGGCACCCCTTTTCTTCTTATGGGGCTCCTCTTTTTGCTTGGGCGCCCCTCTTCTGCTCGGAGTGGGGCACCACTCTCCTTTTACTGGGGCACAGCCCCTCTGCTGGGGTTGCCCTTCCGCTGCCTCAGGGGCGCCCCTCTTGTGCAGAATATACTCCTTTTCTTCTTGTAATGAGGCGCCCCTCTTCTACCGGGGGCGCCCAACAGCTGCTGTCTGCTGGGGCGCCCATCTGCTGCTGGGGCGTCTCTTGTCTGCCGGATATTGTCAATGGGGCGCCCCTATCCTGCTTGGCGAGCCCAACCTCTGCTGAAGGCTCCCCATCTCTGATCAACTTTTGCTGTGGCGCCTCTCTTCTGCTGGGGCGCCCCTCTTCTGCTGGGGGCGCCCCTCTCCTGCAGGGGGCTCCTCTCTTCTGCTGGGGCGCCCCCCTTCGCTGGGGCGCCCGTCTCCCGCTGGAGGCTCTTTTCTCCTGCTGGGCCCCCTCCGCTGCCGGGGGCGCCCCTTTTCTGCCAGTGGCACCCATTTTTTATTATGGGGCTTCTTTTTTTTTGTTGGGGCGCCTATCTGCTGTTAGGGCGCCCCTATTCTTCTTGGAATGGGGGCGCCTCTCTGCTTTTGCTGGGGCGTCGCTCCTCTTCAGGGGGACACCTCTCCTGCCAGGAGTGCCCCTCTTGAACAGAAGGCATGTTTTTATTCTTGTAATAAGACGCCCCGCTTCTGCTGGGGGCGCCCATCTGCTTCTGGGGCGACTCTGATCTGCTGGGAATGGGCAATTGGGCGTCGCTCTCCTGCTTGGTGAGCCCAACTTCTGCAGGAGGTGCCCTATTTCTGCTCAACCTTTGCTGTGTCGCCTCTGTTTTGCTCGGGGCGCCCTCTCTGCCGCGGGCTATGGGCGCCTTTTTCGGATGTCGGGGGGGGGGGCGGCCGCCCCCGTCGCCCCCCCCCTGGATCCGCGCCTGGTACATGGGCTGGGCCCTTATCAATTGTTAACAGCTACAAAAATTGGAATTGAAAATGTTGAGGTATTATGAGCATCAGCTAAGCAGGGAAGAGAATTTGGCTTCAGCCCATCTTGCAACACCTCAATGAAATTTAACGAAAAACTTAAATTGAGGGAGCAGCTACATAACTGAGGTGAAGCCCATAAATCCTTGTGGAATTACCTACATAACTGAGGTAAATCCACAAGGCCATAGGCCGTAGGCGCGGGAGCCGGGGGGCAGTGGGGGCAGCTTGCCCCCCCCCCCAACTCTGGGGCCGTGGGGGCGGTGCCCCCACACTCCACAGCTTTGAGACGGAATACCACACTTTTTTTGCAAATGTTTTCTCTTTTTGTTGAAAAAGCCGAGGGGTGAAAAATAAGTGGCCTAAAACCGGTGAGAAAACTAGATTTGGGGGTACCCTAGGTTAATCTCTATTATGGTGTGCCCCCCCCAGTCGGAAAGTAGTTCCCGCGCCCCTGCACGAGGCACCTTGAGTTCAAACTATGAAATGACTCCAAGCGAAATATAGCAGAAATTGGGAGTTAGTGGAGCTTAAAAATAATCTGCTTAGTGCTGGATAAATGTTTTCACTTAAAATGAACACCACCATATTGGAGTCATAAATAAAGTGTTGATTAAGGATAGGCTTGTAGCATAAAAGATGTTTGTGAAAAGTCACTAGATTTCAAAGTGTTACCTAGTCTCTGCATATTGATTCTCTGATTGTTTGAATGATGAAGTCTCCGCACAGTCTCTGATTGACTGAATGAGCTCTGCAGTCACAATAGTGAAATTCGTGGGAAGATTTTATTTGTAATAAAAGAAGGTAATATTTTGAGTTGGTTTTACCTATGCTGTGAAGATCATAGCATGTTTAAGAGCATTCCAAACAGGGTAGGTATGTCAAAGGCTGGATGGATCTTGGGATTTCCTTGAAGTGTGTTTATGTTGTTTTTTTATTCAAAGTTATTGTAAAAGCCAACCAACTTTTGCAACATTGAGGATCATACTTAAGCTTTGGAAACAAGACATATGTAGTTATGCTGATCTTCTTGTCCAGAGTCTTTGATTATCACTCACTTTTGATGTAGTGAAATTCATGATCATTTTAATGACAAGCTACATTTGAAATGTATTGTTGCTCCCTTTTTACCATGCATATTTTTGTGTCTTGTGAGGTCTCATATAGCAATAACAAGAGCAGTAACATGCACAGTTTGCTTGTGTTGTCATAACTTTGTACAATATTTCCAGCTTTATAATATGCAGTTACCAGTTACATTGGGCATCACACATATTTTTCCTGCAGGAGGAAAGACACAGAGCCAACTAGTGACTCATGTTTGTGTTCCTATCACTTCACCCTGGGGAATCAGTGCCTACACCCCTTGAGTATAATGGTCACCAAGGGGTGCTGTCCTGACATGTTCACTTTCTGTTGAGAAGGTTAGAACAAACACCATGTGTGTCATTTAGTTGCATATACAATAATACCGTAATGTTAAGTCTGCATAAAGTCTGAAGTCTGTAGCCACTCTTAATCCTAGGTTGTCGTGACCTTAATCTAGCTTGGATGGATATTTTACTGTGCTTAAAGCACGGACTGCGCTACGCCCCGGCACGGCGGCCGGGGCGCCTCCCCTGGAAGAAAACGGCACCGGGGAGGGGGGACGGACGGCGAGGGGCCGGGGAAGGAGCGCGGCACCGTCACTCCACAAGCCACCCGCAGCACCGCCGTTATTCTTGTGCCTCTTGGGCGCCGCCGACGCCCTGCGGAGCGGATGGGGAGCGCATCCCAGACGGGCGGGAGCCGGGAGGGCCGCCCGCACCACCCGGCCGGCGAAGCAGCAGCCCGGCCAGGCGCGGCGGGCGGCTGGGTGGCGGCCGGACTGAGACGAGTCCCGAGGCCGGGTGTGCTTTCGTCTGCGGCGACGCTGTGCGGTGTTTTACCTTACCTAAACATGCATCCGTTTTTTCCTGCGAATTGGTCGCTATCCTCAAACTCCTGTGTTTTATCGAGATTAATCCCGCTCGGTCATATGTCATTCTTTCTGACTCATTGAGTGGTCTCCAGTCCTTGTCACAATTCTATCCTTCTGACCCCCTCGCACAGGAGATTCTTCTTCGTGTGACAGCCCTCGACCGAGAGGGTACGTCGGTGTCTTTTTGCTGGATCCCTAGCCACGTCGGTATTCACGGCAACGAACGGGCGGACCGAGCTGCGAACCATGCTGCGCAGTATCCGTGCTCCCGCCGTTTCCCTCTACCCGCCAGGGACTTTGTACCGGCGGTGGGCTCTTTCCTCCTCGGAAAGTGGCAGGAGGCCTGGAGCCAATCCCACGGTAACAAACTTTTACGTATCAAGCCAGGTTTAGCTACCTGGTTGTCGGCCTCACGCAGATCGCGACGCGAGGAGGTGGTCCTCTGCCGGCTTCGTACCGGGCACACTTATGGCACCCATGGGTTCCTTATCGGCGTTGGCTCCAGGCCTATTTGTACCAGATGTGGTGACCGACTTTCGGTCCGACACGTCTTGGTCGAGTGCCCGAGACTGGACGCTGAGCGATTGCGGTTTTTTGGATTGCGTGGCCCCCAGCTCTCTTTGAGAACACTTCTCCGCGACGACTCCCCTTTTCTCGATTCCTTTCGCCTCTTTTCGTTCATCACGGCCTCCGGGCTTCAGGTGATTTTTAACCCCCGACTTTGAGGAAGATTGGTTAGATATGGGCGCCATATAGCCTCGTTGCTGGTGCGCCCTAAAACACCAAATCATCATCATCATCATCATGTCTATCTCTTGCGAAACTAGTACCGCCGACGCCCAGCCTTGATGGGTCACTACGAGGAAAAGGCGAGCCCGCTCCCAGTACCTGGCGTGGAGCTCCCGGGCGGGCACGCCGCCTCGCCGATGGCCCCTGGTCTTCTCTCTCTCTCTCTCTCTCTCTCTCTCTCTCTCTCTCTCTCTCTCTCTCTCTCTCTCTCTCTCTCTCTCTCTCTCTCTCTCTCTCTCTCTCTCTCTCTCTCCGTCTCTCCGTCTCTCCGTCTCTCCGTCTCTCCGTCTCTCCGTCTCTCCGTCTCTCCGTCTCTCCGTCTCTGTCTCTGTTCTGTCTCTGTCTCTGTCTCTGTCTCTGTCTCTCGCTCTGTCTCTCTGTCTCTGTCTCTGTCTCTCTCCCCGACGCCAAAACCGGCTCACAACGGCGTCCATGCCGGCCGGGGCGAAATGATTTGATTAATTATTTCATAAAGGCATTAACCACTAGTGACATGAGACAAAAGCTCAGCAAATTCTACGCATGAATCATCCAGTAGGTAGGCTGGCTTCGAGAACAGTTAAAATGAAGATGCACAAGAAATCGTAATTTCCCAATGACGTGATATGGCTGTCGCAATGCTTAGCCGCAATCATAGGCGTAGGAACAGGGGGGGCCAGGTGGGCAAGTGCCCACCCACTTTTCGAGGTGGGGGGGCCAACCATGTGTTTTGGCCCACCCACTTTTTACTCGAGGCCCCTCGTCTCGATTTGAGAGGACGTCGTCACCTTCCAGAATAAACAAACTCCGTAAAAATAAGTTCCACGAATCCCCACGCACGGACTCCAAGGGGCCGTGATGGATCCAAGGAGGCCCTCTGTTCATACTTGTCAGTCGAAGCCCCTGAGACTGATGGCCTGAGAGGCCCTAGTGGATCTGAGGAGGCCCCAATATCCACACTGGTCTGGGGAGGCCCCTGACACTGGCAGTCTGGGAGGCCCCTCTATCCACACTAGTCAGATGTCTGAGACTGGTGGTCTGGGAGGCCCCTCCATCCACACTAGTCAGAATAGGCCCCTGACACTGTATTGTATTGTATTGTATTGTATTTACATTTAAGAGCGATCCACATACAAAGTGCGTGGCGATTATTGCTCACTGGTGGTCTAGCCGAGGCCCCCTACCCTCACTAGTCGGAGGAGGCCCCTTTATCCTCAATAGTCAGATGAGGCCCCTGATATTGATGGTCTGGGAGGCCTATCCATCTACACTGTAGTCAGAGGAGGCCCCTGAGACTGATGACCTGAGAGGCCCTTATAATCACACCAGGCAGAAGAGGCCCATGAGACTGATGGACTGAGAGGCCCTTCTATTCATACTGGCCAGAGGAGACCCCCAAAACTTTCGGTCTAGGAGGTCCCTCAATCCGGCACCAGCCAAAAGAGTCCCCTGAGACTGATGGCCTGGGAAGCCCTCATATTCACACTAGGCAGAGGAGGCCCCTGAGACTGATGGTATGAGAGCCCTCATATTCACACCAGTCAGAAGAGGCCCCTGAGGCTGATGGCTGTGAGGCCCTTCTGTTCATATAACTGGCCACTGGAGGCCCCTGAAAGCGGTGGTCTGGGAGGGCCCTCTATCCACACTAGTCAGAAGAGGCCCCTGAGACCGATGGTCTGAGAGGCTCTTATATTCATACTGGCCACAAGAGGCCCCTGAGACTGATAGTCAGAGAGGTCCACTCCTAATGAATCTAAGGGGGCCCTCTATCCACATTTACACTTTTCTAGGGAGGCCCCCGAGACTGATGGTCTGAGAGGCCCTTTTATTTATACTGTCCACAGGAGCCCCCTGAGATTAATGGTCTGAGAGGCTCTTCTATTTATACTAACCAGAGGAGGCCCCTAGGATTGATGGTCTAACAGGCCCTTCTATTTATACTAGCCAGAGGAGGCCCATGAGACTGATGGTCTGAGAGGCCCTTCTATTCAAACTAGGCAGATGAGGCCCCTGAGAATGATAGTCCGAAGAGCCATGCGGCGGCAACTGGCCGTGGCCATATTACGGCTCGGTAGGGCCCCACAGAGCTCATGAGAGCACCTCAAGGGCTCCTAAGTAGACACGCTTATCCCCATAAGGATGCCACGCCGGCTTCTGAAGGCTCCTTGTAGGCATCTAAGGGCCCTTTCCGGCCTCTAACGGCTCCACCCGCCTGTGATGGCTCCACGCCAGTGTTTATGAGCGCCACACAGCGGCGCCTTTGAGGGTCATACTAGTGTCTCTTAGGGCCCTATATCGGTGGCTCTGGGGGCCCCACACCGGCGCCTCTGTGGGCCACCACACCTGTGCATCTCAAGGCTCTATAGGTACATTTGAAGGACCCATACCGACACCTCTGAGGGCCCCACACCAGTATCTCGGAGCTCTGAAGGCCCCCAGTGACTCCGAGGACTCACCGGCTCCTGAGAGCACCATGTTGATGTCTAACGGCTCCACAAGGCCACTGAAGGCACCACACAAGCTCTCACTGAGCTCTAATGTCCATGTACCGGCCTCTGAGCGATTTAAGCCAGCGCATTCATAGCTCCACACCAGCAATTGTAAGAACTTCACACTGAAGTATCTGAGGGTTCCACACCGGTGTCTCTAAGGGCCACATACCGGCATCTCTGAGGGCCCCATACCGGCGTCTCCGAGGGTCCACATCTGGCGGGCACCCATCAGCGACTGAAGGTCCCACACTGTCGACTCCGAGAGCCTCATCTGCGTCTGGGAGCACCTCTAAGTCTAATCTCTAAGAACCACAGTGGCTCCTCCGTACGAAAGATGGGCGTCTGCATGCCAAAGGGGAGCGGTTCTGAGACAGTAGGACACCTACGTACAATAGAGGGGCGCCTATGAAGCCCATAGGGGCGCCTCAATGCGAAAGAGGGGCGCCTCTGAAGCCTACATATATGGGCGTCCACATGCAATAGAGATCTGCAGACTGCAATTGATCAATGCCATGGGGCCTGAGGGGGCATTCATAAGAAACAGGAGCGCCGGCATGGCAAAGAGAGGCGCCTTCAAGTGTCCATAAAAGAGAGACGTCTATGATAAGCGCACATTGTATGCGACAACGGGGCGACTGTGGGACATATAGGG